TTAAGATTGCAAAATCAATATATCCTTTCTGAATTCCGTGCTGTTAGTTTAACCCTTATCCCTAAATAATCAATATGTCTCGAACAAATAGCAGCATTGTTTACACGTGCCATAGCAGATGACAATATAACAGGTGCGTGTCAGGTTGTGTCGAGCTTTTTCATTGGTCAGTTTGGTCATAGGGACACAAAAATGCTATATATCCATAAACAATCTTACTTTCTTATAAACCAAGGCACTATTTGCGTAGGAAGCTGATTTTTAATAAATACTCCGCAATGGTTATGTACAACCAGTTATACCGAAATACGCATCGTTTATAAAACTATGGGATAAAATATCTGGTTTTAGTCTTTGTGGGTATTTAGAAGTTGGATAGAAATATGATAAGGGATATATTCTTCTCTACGTATACTGTACACATACACAAAATTTCATGGATGCTTTTTCCACTTCACCACAAATGACAGGGTTGGAAAATATGACACATATGTTGGAAAGTGGGTACAAGATTATATAAAATACAAGTTCATGACGTCATAGCATTGTCAGGGCATTGTACAATTAAGAAATACACTTCGCTCTACCACCATGTATAATAATAAAACACACTTTTGCCCTGAACTATTATAGTTAAAGCACGAGGACGCTTGCGTCCGAGTGCTTTAACGTTATAATAGTTCAGGGCGAAAGTGTGTTTTATTACACTATACATGGTGGTAGGGCGAAGTGTATTTCTTTTCTAAGATGCCAAATTTAATACTTTCTAAAGATAATTACGATTAATTTAAGGCAGAAAACAAACGACGGTGTCGGTGACCTAAATTAAGAATCCTCGCACAGGGCTAACTGGCGCGCTGTTCTATTGATGTGTCTGCCCCCTACGTTAAGACGAACGTTACCAGAAAAAAACAAATGATAACAGTTTGATGACGGTTTACGTTCGGATTAAATATCTTCTCTGAATTATTTTAATTACATCTGTCATTAACGTAAACCATATGGGGCAATATGAACGTTGCATTTCTACTACCAGCGTAAGTTTAGATCAGTACATCCAGAGGAAGTTGAGTAGTCAAGCGACATTCCACAATTGCATTGTGGGAATGTAAACATTACGAACGTTACCGTGTCGCTGAAAACTTGTGAGTCGAAATGACACATTTTAACCGTCGTAAAACATAAACGTAATGTTTCCACCAGTGATGTTAGCTGCGTGAAGCAACAGCAAACCAAGAAACTGGATGCAACGGTGTAGTTTACTGTAGGAGGCCGTACGAGGCGATGACAACTGACATGCATCGTGACGTCGCTTACATTGTGACGTAATGTAAAATGGTTCGATTACGAGGGGGCACACTAGAATGGCGCAGTGACGGGATAAAGTCATTCAATTGTTACGTCATCAAAAAACTATACCTTTATTGTCTGATAATGTATTTTTTTTTCGATTGTTCTAACCGCTAGGCATCTTAGAATAATAAATAATCGTGTCTACGCGGCCGGGTATCGAACCCACGACCTTCCGCTCTCCGGGTTGACGCTCTAACCACTACACCACGGAGGCGGTCAATGGCACAGTAATTGACATCAATTTGTAACATAATATTACAATTTATAACATTTTCAACGATAAATAAATATAATATTTCTGTTGAATCTATTCTGCGTTCTATAACCATAACTGATTAGAGATCAGAATGGATTTACTTGCCCCGGCTGTCGCACAAATAGGCTGCCCTCATGATTATCCGTATTAATGCTTGAAATATTGCCGAGTAGGAAATAACTCTAATGAGCTGACATTTTTCCTTCCAAAGTACTCACGTCAGTACACATATAGGTGTTAATTAGAACTAACATCTAGTCTCTGAAACAGAAAAAAAAGGTTTTTAAATTAAAATAAAATCTCAGAGACTTTCTCCATTTTCAGAAACTGTGGTAATCTAGGCTTGCATGGTCTGCATTGGGTATATTTGTTTCAGGGTCTGTATGACAGGCTAAAAGTATGTATCCCGTCGTGTGTACATAAATAGCCGGGGTTAAATACAGTTCGTTAATACGATGGCTCAATACTTATATAACATTACTTAAGCAATTAAAATGTTGCCATTTTCCATGTATTTCCCCGAAAACATTCGTGTGACTGGTTCATTTATGTAGTTTCCTGATAGTTGACGTTAGGAGATGCCAGTCAGAAGATGTTCCCTCGAGTTTGTCGTAAGAGGCGAGTGGAATGGATCGACTGGTCCTGTTGGTCATCGTTCTCCGATGGCAGAGATCGTTGGTGGTCATCCTGGCCCCTGATCCAGTTGGAACTGCCAGTAACCAACATCCACTGATTGTACAAGTAAGGGACAGGCACAGCAGTTCCACCTTTAAACTACTTAACATGTGATAGTTATGTGAAGATGTTTTTTTCTGTTATGCTTATCATGCAGTTATGTTTATACTTGCATGAATTGAAGCTTAAATATATCAGGTCAGTAATGTCGGCAAACAAAAGCATGAAAACCGATCAAAGCGTTCAGCAGCATTCACCTGGAAGCCAGATGTCGAGTACAATATGGATTCTCACCAACTCGGGAGAAGATGGATCAAGGATGGACGTGCAGATTGTACGAGCGCTTCTCATTTCCTTACTTCGCTCCAACTTGACTGCTTGTGTGGCCGCGATGATTTTATACTTGTTTTGTAAATATTTTAGAAATATGTTTTAGGCCATTAAGTGCCTGTACAAGCTATAACACGTACACAGTATACAGAAAGTAACAATAGATTTACCCCAGCAATTACATAACTCTTAACTTCACCATAGCCACTGTCACTCTAATGACAAGCGCATTGCATTGTCTGCCTTGTCCCATATCCTTATTATGTAAGTCTCCTTGCCTACAGTTCAACTTTATTTCATCAAGCAGTTGTCAGATACTACTCTTACAAGTCAGATCTTACATGTTATGCTGAGCAAATAGTTTGGTTTTTTTTGTGTGGACTGAGTGGCTGTGGACCTCACTTCTATTTATGTATATGTAAGGTCAGTTTGTGTTTTGCTTTCATATCCATGTATTTATATATATGTCTGTATAGTTGTATATGAATTAAATGCATTAAGTTAATGCATTGATAAGATATATTTCTCTGTTGAACCAACAAATTAACTTGCCATTGAGTGTGTGTTATTGACTAGTAGTTCATAATTAGTATATAAGTATATTTAAATGTTCAGATATTCTACCACCTTTGAAGGTAATATAATTTCTCTTTTAATCCATGAACTTATGTCCTATATTTTTATTGCCATTTTTCCTGGTTGCTCATCATTGTGTAACATTTGTAGAATATCCCGATTGGACACTGCCAACTTAATAAGCTGCCAGCTCATTGCCACACAGTGAGCTGGAAACTGATTAGTAAACTTTGTTTACACAATAAAGAGATTGCTGTCGGCTCACAACCCAGTAGCTGTTCTGCGTTATTCTTCCAACTGGAACCTCGTCCGCTACTACATTTGGTTGAAATATTACAACGTGTATGTCACTAAATGCAGTTTCTGTGATTTAACACTTAACACGTGGTGACAGTCTGGAACCGGAACCACCAGCTTCAAGCTTGAGAAAATTCCAGCGATCTTAGGGCTTCGAGAATTTGTACCGTGAACTTACCGCTCCATCTTTAGTGTCAAGATCGCCCACTAAGGGCAGTTTATGATCCTACGGATGCAATTTAATATATAATAACCTTTTTTGGTTGGTTTAAGCCATATTTATTCAGTTTTCGTAATACTGACAAAAAAATAAAGCTATGAACATTTATCGCGGCCAGACGGGTGATGGACGGCCATGTTTTGGCTTTGTTTGATTGGGTTTTTTTAAAAAGCTATATGGCGGCGGTCTGTAAGTAATCGAATTTGGACCAGACAATCCAGTGATCGACAACATGAGCATTGATATACACAATTGCGATACGATGACCAAGTCAACTAAGTCAGCAAGCCTGACCACCCTATCCCGTTAGTCGTCACTTACAATATGTTTAATACAGGAACCTTACTAGCTACATATTTGATTTACACCTGGCTCTGAGTGTTACTGAATACACACACAGCAAATTCAGATTCCTCTTAGTTCAACGAGTTTTACTAAATTATGTTTTCGATGAAATTCTGCGTTTGTATTCTTTCACTTTTTATAGGCTTATACATTTTCAAACAGAGGCTTGTCGACAGTCGCTCGTGGTTCCTTTAGACATAACTTGATATTTTCATAGGTGAGTGACGTATTAACTGTGCCAGTTAGGTCGCTTGTTAAGCTACATATGTCATTTAATATGAAACGTCACATGTCGTGTATTCATAATGTATGTATTATTTGTATACATATTTTGATACTGATCCAGACCTATATATCTTTTACTCTGGAAACCACGCTGTCTGACGCAAATGGGATCTTTTGTCGGCACAAAGTTAAATCGAATAAGACATTCGTTACATCAGGGGAACCTTAATCGATATTTAGGGTTTAGTAAAAAAATACTGTAATTCATCACTCAATAATGGAACCTGTTCAATGATGTATAAGAAGAAAAGCAAGATTTATGGATGTCAACTACTTTATTGTGAATAACACAACGTTTCGTAGTGTATGCTGCTCCTTCATCAGGTATTTCAAGCATACACTCCGGAACGTTGTGTTATTCACAATAAAGATCGAGTTGACATCCATAAATCTTGCGTTTCTTATGCATTCCACTTCTAAATGCCCTTCATAGATTTTATGTGTATGAGGTTTTGAAAAAAAATGTCTTAATTCGCAGACGTTATGAGAAGCAACACTATGATCAGGTTTGATGAGACTGTGTAAGGGGAATAGTCGCGATGTTACATATATACTGCGCCGTTTCATAAGATTGGCATGCTCCCCGTAATGTCTCAAGGTAAAACAATTGCGTTTTGACATTACGAGTGCATGCGTACTTTGCGTGAGAACATTCGACCAATCAGAAACTTGTACTATCGTCAGCCCGGAGGTGTAGTTTATATAACGGAAGTACCGTGCGTTCTCGAACCTGAACATCGTTTGACGCTGAACTACTGATTTAATCGCCAATATGCCACGCAGAGGACGAATGAGGTGAGTAAGATGTTGATGTATATTTTGTGGTTGTTTATTTCAATGCTATACCACAAAGGTAGGATCGTACACAGATTGTATATTTCTCTTACAAGGTGACCTTTTCTTGAATTTTAGATGATGAAACATGAGTTATCGGTCGTGTTAAGACGCAAATGTTTTGTAACAATGATCTTTGAATTGATCAGAATCAGTATACGTTTCGCCATTCCGTTTTAACGTTTAGTTTCACAATATGAAATTGGCAGCATCTCTTTGTCAAGATCCTCGATTGGCAGTATTCTAGGACGGCCTGGCCTACAGATGAAAACTAGCAGAAAGCAACGAATACAGTGGGCCATGCATACCGCAACAGATCAAATGTCCATTTAGATTTTTGCTATGTGCATGAACATGTGCTATAGGAATGCACACTTTGTGGGTATTGTGTCCTGTTTGCAATTTGTGTGACTATCGTTCCATAGTTTTGAGCTGGTGCCAAAGATCATTTATCGGTACAGTAATGTAAGCATGGTTAGCCTAAGTTTTAAACGTATGGGTATTTACAATGTTTATGCATCAGAGGTAAAATCACTTACGAACTGCTTCCATGTCTGTCCGAGTATCCCAAGTGGAGTGTTCATCTTGAATAATAGATTTTGTTAAAATGAACTCAAGGAAAGTGACACCCGGATAAACATGTCTAGCACATCTTAATGTTTCCATTATCTTTGGCAGCTCTCCAGCCCCACGGCGCCCCGTGTCACAGGTTCCAGCTCAACACCATGCTCCCCCTCCACCTGCCCCACTCCAAGCCCAGCCCCGCCAGCCAGGTCTCATGGCACAGATGGCCACCACTGCTGCTGGAGTTGCTGTTGGGTCTGCTGTGGTGAGATTCATTGTTAATAAGTTCTGTTGGGGATTCAGTTTTGATTTAATCAAACAGTTATGGATTACCCGGATTACATAAAGAACGCTGCCTATGCAGTGTGAAATGTACACGCTGTTTATCATTGTTTGATGAGGTCTAGACCCAGACTGGAGATGAGCACCTTGGACCACTTGTAATCATGAACTGACATAAAAACATGTGTACATACACGTCATGAACTAGGAATGATCAGGCGTTTAGACTGTTCTTTTTCTTGGAATTTGAAGAATGCTTTTCAAAATGTGAAATCACAATTCTCAAATATTGAAAATGTATATCATTGTTTGTCTGCCTGAAAAAAATCACTGATGATCATGAATTTGAGAATAGATAAAAACCATTGCATTAGGATGTTGAGAGTTTTCTGTCTTAGTGTCTCTTTATGTAAATAGCAATATTGAAACTGATGTGTCACGGTACTTCTTTGACTGCTGGATATGAAGTATTTCAATGTTTATGGAAGAAGCAACAAACCCTGTTTATTCCAAGTTAGAATAACTGCTTGTGAGAGGCAACAGATTGATCAGATTGTGTGATTGCTGTGAGCAGATTGTGTGTCATAGCTTGTTAATGGTGTGGATTGTTGCTCTCAGTATCTGTCACTACATTGTTTGGACTTGATTATATACTGTTATGTAGAGTAACACAGAAAAACATTTCTTTTCCTGATAACTTGATAAATTTTGATGTTGAATGCCTTATGGCAATTGGTCTCAGGAACATTCTTGTGAGGCAAATGACCTCTGTTAATAATCTGTGTCTAAGAAATAGTAAATGTAACTGAAGATGTGTGGTAACAAGTGTAATCTTTAACCCTGTACATGCTATATTTTGCATATCAGTCTCATTCTGGAATACACAATACAATGGTACTTAAGCCAAGATTTCTCGTTTCACTGAACAGGGTCACACAATTGGAGCAGCTATGACAGGAGGGATGGGAGGAGGCAGTGCCCCTGCCCCCCAGCAGGAGGCCCCCCAGCCTTTGTATCAGCAGCAGCAGCAGCCAGCTGGACCCTGCCAGGTGGAACTCAAGCAGTTCCTGGACTGTGCCAATAACCAGTCTGACCTCTCTCTGTGTTTTGGATTCAATGAAGCACTAAGACAGTGCAAACTACAAAATGGTGAGATGGGAAATTTTTATGCTTTTGTTATTTAGGGTAAGGCCAGACCAATTTTATTTCTTGTTTTACGGATCTGCCGGTCGTATTTTTTCAAGAATAAGAAAAAAAATAAAAGTTAATTTTCCCTGCTCAAAACATAAAATCCTAATGTTTTATTGGTCAAAAATGTACATTTACAAGAAAAGATTTATTTAGATTGAGTTTTGCCCCATAGACACTTCATAAATTGCCAAAAGTAAAATACTTTTAGTATTTATTTATTTTTATTTTTTTCCCTCCTGCCTTTAGGTTTTCTGAGTACAAAAATCTGTAAAACAAGAAATAAAATTGGTCTGGCCTAAATTTGTAAAAAAATGTGTTGCTTTCATTTCAACAATCATCATGACACACGTTACAGGCATTGGGTTTAGTGAAATTTAATGTTTATTAGTTATACTGTCAGTGGGGCAGCTTGAGGCGAGTTTTAAAAGGAAAATGTTTAAACTTGGGCATGAATCTTAATAACCAAGTGTTTTATGATTTAGGGGTTTCTAGAACTCGCCATAATAAGTGAAAACTTGCATGAGGGATTACAATCAGTTGTATATGATTATGATGTACAACAGGACAGTCCTGATCGTACATTGACAAAGTCAAACCTTTCCAAAGTCAATTTAAATCTCATTTTTTAACCATGTTTCCTTTTCATCTTTCAGGAACAGCTTGATGTGTGAATTTAGGGGATATGAAAGGTTTAACTTAGATGAATGGTTGTTACTGAATGGACTTGGGAGGACGGTTTCTCTTATTCCACCCTGTAATATAGAACCTATAACCTGCCTCATGGACCCTAGGACATGCAGTCTGGCATCAGAGCATCCAGCTGGATAATATAGTTGTGATTCTTCACTGCAAGTCGCAGTCATCTTTGATGAGATACTCATTAACAGTAACCAGAGAATTTGATTTGTTTTTGTTTTCCTTGGACAAATTGGATGTGCTTTTATTATTATGGACAATGGGCATAACTATTCTGATCTGACAATATAGAAACAACAGTGGATATATCAACAGTGTTGTGGAGTATCATCATGGTTATGCAGCATGTCCTCCAGGGATGTGTCACACATGTATATTGATGTACATGGCTGTATATTATAAACCATACTTTGAACTTTGTTTTGAAAGTTTTCAATTGTAAATTTTAGGTAAAATAAGTTTAGTAAACTTGATGAAATAGACGTGGTTCAAGACTAGACTAAAAGATGTTGGTGTAAAATTGTGTTCTGTTGTAAGTCATTACCTGAGGATTCAGGTTGAGAGGAGGAATCAGGTTTGCACTTGAAATCCTGGATATCAATAGGCTGCCTGTCTCATTCAGGCTCGATCAATGTTGCATGGTGACCCTTATGCTTGTTCACCTTAACTGTCAATGAAAGATTTATTCTCAGGGTTGGTGAATCACTTGTCAGTCTCCTACAATTGGAGGGTGGATTGATTTCTGAGCAATTCAGCACTGTATGGAGTTGATTCATTTGATAACCACAATATTACAAACATGGCTTGCAGAAAAATTTGCTTGGTTAAGGTGCATTCCCATCGTGCGACATGTAGTATCCTGCAACTCGGTTGCAACATCAGAACACCCTAATGGTAATGATTCTAAATTGTATACAACTAGTTGCAACTGAGTGGCAAGACATAGGATTTGTTCTAGTTCCTACTACAAGTTGCAGGCTCTCAGCGTCAGATCTTCAGGGAGTCGTCCGATTATTAGTGTTGACATGTTGAACTATATGATACCAGAAGAAACTGAGTTTGGCCCAAGGATCCAGTTGTGAACTCACACCCCATGCGATCTAAATACTAAAATGCCAATGTCCTGTGATACCTCAGCTTGCATTATTGTGCAGTTATAAACCTGATGCTGCAGGCCATTTGAAGGTTCAGGCTCATAACTCCGACCTTTCGACCAAACTGCACGGTTGAGTGGAACAAAAATATCGGCGTCCTGAGACTAGTTTCATTTTGCCAATTAATAACGGATTACGAGGACAATGAAGGATCAACGAGTTGTTAGAAGAGGATAATCCCGATTATGTGGATGAGAGCACACCTAATGAGAAGACGACAACAGTTTATATTTATATCATTTTATGTCCATACTTGAAGCACTCTTCAACAAACTCAGTTGACAGATTTTAACATTTGTTTACAATGATTCACATAAATAAATACGTGACAATTTTAATAAAGACATCGCATATCCGATGCGTTTTCATGATACATATAGCAGACATTTTTTCACAGAGATTGATCCACAGATTTTAACCAAAAATGCAACAGGTGGAATGCTGAATCAGCAAACTGTTTTACGGACAGTGTTCCTTGCCTGAGCTGGTGACGGATGTCATCCAGTCATAGCTCCAAGTCCCTGTATTTCTTGTTCTTGGACGGACGCTTCTGGCCAGCAGCGTATTGGACAAGAATGTTTTCCGTGTTCGTCTGTTCTCGTGACAGGAACGGCATGATCTCGAAGATGTTTTGGTGAGCCTTGCCGACGTATCTCTTCAGACGTAAATGCCACCCTTCCAGGTGGTTGTTGGTTCTTATCCCATCTGAGTTGTGGTGGTTCCATATCGTTCCACTGCGATATGTTTACCTAGTGCGACGAGTTCACCATATCAAAACATCTAGAGTAGATTATCCGCAACCCTAATTACGCCTAATCAGAACCTAACCTTCAAAGGAAACCGCAGGTCGACGTCCTGAGACTAGTGGAAAATCGAAAGGTCGGCGTCCCGAGACGACACCCATTTGAAGGACTTAACTTCATGTTGCAGTCTATTTCATATACGTGTGTACCATTTTGTACCTGTCAAAACATATCTTCGTCTTAACATGAATAACACCACTCAGACATGGTGTACTAACTCCAAGCTGAATAAAGTACTGTCGGAAATAGAAAAAACTGTTTTTTTGCTGTTCCTCTGTATCCCTAAAATTTACACAATTGCAAATAGCATATGGCGAAAAAACACATCAGCCTAACTGGGCATTCAGTGGGATGCGTAATAGGATATCCAGAAAAGCATGTTTACTTGTAAAATCGGGCAAAACTTAGCTACTTCAGACAATAGATGAGACTATAGATGACAATTAGGTCGCTCGGCCAGGTATGACGACGGACCTTTGACGCACGAAATGCACGTGCTGCCTACAGCAACAAGGGGTCATCTCAAAGATATTCTATGTGTTTTCTTGTGTGTTGAATATGTCTCAAATATTGATTAACATCTAACGTGTATTTTTTTCATAAAGTTTTTGTTGAGATATGTAAAACTGCATGATACCCATAGAAAGGCTTAAATCAGCTATCGTATTTAATGTCTCAAAATATATAGGTAGCATGGCAACCCGAAGATCGACGGGACTGGATATTATTATTGGTAAATTGTTACTTCCCCAGTTTAATTCCCCTGAAGGATTATCTTATCTATATCCCCCAGCCGAACCCCAACCATCGTCTGCGACACCCGACCTGGTTTTGCTTTTGAGGTGGACGCACACACACCCAGCCCCATGTCTGTTTGATTTATAGTGGTAGTGAGACTCCATGGTAGCTACACCCTTAAGAGTTTCACAAGTAAAAATATTATTTTGTACATCAGCTATCATTTCTAATGATGCTAAGTCTAATTTCAAAATGGGCATTCAAAAAGTGTCCTTTGTAATACAATATCATTGCACACTAATTTGTATAAAGCCAAGGTCTGTTCCAAATAAGTCGACCGAGACTGTAGTTAGCCCGATCTTAATTTAACAGATATTTCACACTGACACATTAACTACATAAATTGTGGATCTAAATGTGAAAAAAGAGTTTTATTCTATTTTTGACAGTTCTTGTTTCATGACCTTAATTATGAGTGTCAACCAGGATAATAAGTCTCAGGGTGACTTGGCCTGGTATATCACATGAGGGAAAGACATCTAAACACTTTAAGAAGATGAAATATGTTTATTTCATGAGCTATTGCACAAGTGGAAGCAATGAATGATCTGATGTAATTGAGATACAAACTACTGTGGAATGAACACAATACAAGAACTATTTGCCATTTGTAGCTTTAGAAAGATCAACCAGAGATGTAGAAAATATGTTCACTATCATGCTATCTAAATAAATGGTTTGAATTTTTATGACGGGGGAGGTAATAACTGAAACATTTCATCAAATATACTGAATATGCCATATGTACTAATCCAGTTTGTTGTCACTGTTCACTGTCAGGTAGGACAACCAGTAACTACAACTGGAAGTAGGTTTGTTGACCCCCTGTGAAGTTCAGTGTGAAATAAGATTCCTCAGATCAGTAGCTGTAATGCATTCCTCCATTATTAAGCAATTCCTTGAAGTATATATAATAGTACTAAACAAATCTCATTTCATAGTTTGTGTATACACAGTGTTTCTGTGGTTCACATACAGGATACAGCGCCACAGTCACCCACTACTGTCACTGCTGCACAGTGAGGAGAACATCTGCATCACACAACTCCATGTGACCTGTCCGTCATTTTCTCAGATAGCCAATTAGACCAGTGCTACCTAAAACAGACCTGTGCTACAAGTCTACAATATATCAGAGGGTCTTTGAATACATTTTTAAAGTAATAAATGAGGTAAATGAGAAAGGTTTCATTTTTCCACTCAAAGGAACACCTTGCCTTGACTCAATTGTGATGTAAACTGTCCAGAGGACCAGGACATTACTTGAAGTACATTGATGGCTTTCACTGATGCATGAAGTGCTGTGTATTTGGCACAATGTTACATACACATGGCTGTGTAAATGAACACCCCTGCATCCAAAGTACAGTTAACCAAGACACAGGATATTTGCACAGTTTCTTGATTTGTCAGCGTGACAACAGATTGTTTGCACTGTTCATAAGAATCTTTTGAATTAAATCTCCAACATGTTAAAGTAAGAAGTATGACGCAGTTGCTGTTGATTCCACAGACATCTGGCTTGTACGCTGTCTACAGCCACAGTGATCACACGATGACAAGTACTTGTTGGTATGAAGTGAACTGACACTTTCCTGGAGTTGTAGAAAGTCATTAACAGGTTGATGAATACATGGTTGTGTAAGCTACACATCAGTTTAGGAACGCCTGCAGGAACCAACCATCACAAGATGTCACACAAGCACAGTCAGAAGGTGTCCGTAGTCAAGATGTGAGCTAACACTGTTCAGTTGTGTGCATCCAGTCCCAGGTACAGCTGCCTCAGGCTACCACACAAGCACAGTCAGAAGGTGTCCGTAGTCAAGATGTGAGCTAACACTGTTCAGTTGTGTGCATCCAGTCCCAGGTACAGCTGCCTCAGGCTACCACACAAGCACAGTCAGAAGGTGTCCGTAGTCAAGGTGTGAGCTAACACTGTTCAGTTGTGTGCATCCAGTCCCAGGTACAGCTGCCTCAGGCTACCAGCATGAGCAGATTGGTTCCACAGAGTCCTTGTGTGAACGACTTAAATACAGTCCAGGACAAATATCTGCAACAGTGTCAGTTTCTCTACACAGCCAAGCTCACCATGTTGCTCTGAAAGGAGGAAATGCAAGCACTGAAAAACATGAACACAAATTCACTGTAAAACAGGATTTAGCTTCAATATCTTAAGTGCCCAGTTCTAATGATGCTATCAGTGACTTATGTAAATCTAAAACTCCCACTTGTGGTGATTAGGGCAATCATGCTCGGCTTGACTGATATACAAATTTGGATAAGCAAGCAAACAGATTGTGTTTTCCTAAAATACATATTGAGTTTTGTTCCCTTGTCTCCACTTCAACAACAATACCAGCCACACTGGAAACCTTCAATTGAAGAGCTTTCTATTGAAGTACTTATAAGTGTGTCAAACAGGCAGACCAGGAAGAAACCTGCTTGACCTGATAACACAAACTGAAACCTAAGTTAGATATCTACTGCAAATACCTACATGCAACAGATTCTGTATATATTTCTCTGTAAAGCCAGGAATACTTCTTAAGTCTTGAATCTGAAATGAAAGCAACATTTACAAACAGTTGTTTGAAAAGAATAATTTGTACTCTAAAAATACTTTATTGTTTTATCTAAACTGACATGTGCCAGATGTATGTTATTTGATATTCTATCATAACAGCATAATGATGCTTGATTCTAACTGGTTGGTCTATCATAATCAGGTGGATTTATTATTAATAAATCTCACTGATTAGCAGAAACCTAACTGCCAAGTAAGAATATGCTTTTGTGTTCAGTTTCAAATCTCAAATTTAAGTGAATCAATTTCATGTAAAAGCTCTTTTTAAAACACTGTCTGCTTATCTGCTAACTGATCGTGCAGGTTATAGTTTTGGAGTGCATATCTTTTTTTATGTACACTAAGCTGGTTCATAGCAAGGATATTCTATTGGGGATGTAGTCAATGACTCTGACATAGACAGCGAAACACTTAAAGACAAGAGAGTCTAAACAATCAGAAAAAATACATCTGTATCATGTGTGCTTGAATGAAAGACTGTTAGTGTTTACGTCAGTTCAAAAGTACACTCTCATGAAAAGCACATGAACATAAACATGCATCATTCATACATTAATGACCACCACATGTCCAGTAGAAGTGTTATCATGTTAATCCCTATTAGAATAATCATATGGCAAATCTTAGCCCACAATCTAGAACCACAACTTAGCACTGTGAAGAGTGGCACCAAAGATGACTGCCATCCTTGCCACCTTTCTTCAGTTGATAATGAAAACAATGCTTGAGGCATGTATAACTAAGCCTGTTGGCTTACATGTCACTACAGATGTCCCCCAACACTGATCCTCTCATGTCTCACCTGGGAGAAGACACCATGCAACTCGCGCCATTCGAAGATGAGCCGTGCCCTCTTGTTGCCCACAGTGTGGAGCTGCTGGAGTTCCTTCACTGATGAGGAGTTGAGAACATGTAGGAAGTCACCATCTGTAGGAACAACCATAGTGGGGGATACATACAGTAGTACCATATATTGAGGGATACATACAGTAGTACCATATAGTGGGAATACATACAGTAGTACCATATAGTGGGGATACATACAGTAGTACCATATAGTGGGGGATACATACACATACAGTAGTACCATATAGTGGGGATACATACAGTAGTACCATATAGTGGCGGATACATACACATACAGTAGTACCATATAGTGTCGGATACAAACAGATACATTTGTACCATATAGTGGGGATACATACAGATACAGTAGTACCATATAGTGGGGGATACATACACATACAGTAGTACCATATAGTGGTGGATACCACACAGTAGTACCATATAGTGGCGGATACATACAGATACATTAGTACCATATAGTGGGGATACATACAGATACAGTAGTACCATATAGTAGTACCATATAGTGGGGATACATACAGATACAGTAGTACCATATAGTGGGGGATACATACACATACAGATACAGTAGTAGTACCATATAGTGGGGGATACATACACATACAGTAGTGCCATATAGTGGGGGATACATACAGATACAGTAGTGCCATATAGTGGGGGATACATACACATACAGTAGTACCATATAGTGGGGGATACATACAGATACAGTAGTACCATATAGTGGGGGATACATACAGATACAGTAGTACCATATAGTGGGGGATATACATACAGTAGTACCATATAGTGGGGATACATACAGTAGTACCATATAGTGGGGGATACATACAGATACAATAGTGCCATATAGTGGTGGATACAGACAGATACAGTAGTATCATATAGTGGGGAATACATACAGATACAATAGTACCATATAGTGGTGGATACAGACAGATATAGTAGTACCATATAGTAGGGGATACAGACAGATATAGTAGTACTATAAAGTAGGGGATACATACACATACAGTACTACCATATAGTGGGGGATACATACAGTAGTACCATATAGTGGGGATACATACAGTAGTACCATATAGTGGTGGATACAAACAGATACAGTAGTATCATATAATGGGGATACATACACATACAGTAGTACCATATAGTGGGGATACATACAGTAGTACCATATAGTGATGGATACAAACAGATACAGTAGTATCATGTAGTGGGGATACATATAGTAGTATCATATAGTGGTGGATACAAACAGATACAGTAGTATCATATAGTGGGGATACATACAGTAGTACCGTATAGTGGGGATACATACAGTAGTACCATATAGTGGGGATACATACAGTAGTACCATATAGTGGTGGATACAAACAGATACAGTAGTACCATATAGTGGGGGATACATACAGTTGTACCATATAGTGGGGGACACATACAGATACAGTAGTACCATATAGTGCAGTGTTCAGCGAATAGTGTCTGACCCTCTGACAAATCCGGCAGATTCGCCAATGGTCAGATAGAAGTCTACAACCCACCAGCCCCAGTGTCCGACTGTATATTTCACAATGACTTTGACTGAAGTTGTTATATTTGACATGTGACACTTGTTTGCTGTTTATTTTATCTTAATTTTTCTTATGTTTGTAAATAATTTCAATGCCAGCTATAAGAAATGTTTAATCTGAAATGTGTGTTTAATTTTATTCCATGGGTCCTGTGAATTTTCAATGGGTCAGACAGACATCTTAAACTTACAGGACCCAATGTCCTGTTACTTTGAAACACCATTCGTGAACACTGATAGTGGGGGATGCATACAGTAGTACCATATAGTGGGGGATACATACAGTAGTACCATATAGTGGGGAATACAAACATACAGTAATACCATATAGTGGGGAATACATACACATACAGTAGTGCCATATAGTGGGGATACATACAGATACAGTGGTACCGTATAGTTGGGGATACATACAGATACAGTGGTGGATACCATATATTGGTGGGGATACATACCAGTAGTACCATATAGTGGTGGATACATACAGTAGTATCATATAGTGGGATACATACAGATACAGTAGTACCATATAGGGGATACATACAGATACAGTAGTACAGTAGTGGGGATACATACATATAGTGGGGATACATACAGATACAGTACCATATAGTGGGGGATACATACAGATACAGTAGTACCATATAGTGGGGGATACATACAGACAGTAGTACCATATAGTGGGGATACATACAGATACAGTAGTACCATATAGTGGGGATACATACAGATACAGTGAGTATATATAGTGGTGGATACATACAGATACAGTAGTACCATATAGTGGGGATACATACAGTAGTACCATATAGTATACATACAGTAGTACCATATAGTGGGGATACATACACAGATACAGTAGTACCATATAGTGGGGATACATACAGTAGTACCATATAGTGGTGGATACAAACATAGTAGTAGTATAGTGGGGATACCAGTAGTACATATAGTGGGGATACATACAGTAGTACAGTATATATATGGGGGATACAGTACCATACATGGAGGCACCATACAGTAGTGGGGATATAGTGGTACCATATAGGGGGATACAAACAGATACAGTAGTATCATACATAGTGGGGATACATACAGTAGTACCAGTAGTGGGGATACATACAGTAGTACCATATAGTGGGGGATACATACATACAGTAGTACCATATAGTGGGGGATACATACAGTAGTGATGGATACCATATAATATAGTGGGGATACATACAGTAGTATCATATAGTGGGGATACAAACAGATACAGTAGTACAGTAGTACACATATAGTGGTACATATATACAGTGGTATACATATAATACACATACAGATACAGTAGTACCATAGTGGGGAGTCATACAGTAGTATCATATAGTGGGGATACATACAGTAGTACCATATAGTGGGGATACATACAGTAGTACCATATAGTGGTGGATACAAACAGATACAGTAGTACCATATAGTGGGGATACATACAGTAGTACCATATAGTGGGGGATACATACAGATACAGTAGTACCATATAGTGGGGGATACATACAGATACAGTAGTACCATATAGTGGGGGATACATACAGATACAGTAGTACCATATAGTGGGGATACATACAGTAGTACCATATAGTGGGGATACATACAGATACAGTAGTACCATATAGTTGGGGATACATACAGATACAGTAGTACCATATAGTGGGGGATACATACACATACAGTAGTACCATATAGTGGGGGATACATACAGTAGTACCATATAGTGGGGATACATACAGATACAGTAGTACCATATAGTGGGGATACATACAGATACAGTAGTACCATATAGTGGGGATACATACAGATACAGTAGTACCAGTGGGGATACATACAGTGGGGATAGTAGTACCATATAGTGGGGGATACATACAGATACAGTAGTACCATATAGTGGGGATACATACATACAGTAGTACCATATAGTGGTGGATACAAACAGATACAGTATAGGGGGGATACATACAGTAGTACCATATAGTGGGGATACATACAGTAGTACCACATAGTGGGGATACATACATATAGTGATATATACATGGGATACAGTACAGTAGTACATATAGTGGGGATACATACAGATACAGTAGTACCATATAGTGGTGGATACAAACAGATACAGTAGTACCATATAGTGGGGATACATACAGTAGTAGTAGTACATATAGTGGGATACATACAGATACATACATCATATAGTGGGATACATACACATACAGTAGTACCATATAGTGGGGATACATACAGATACAGTAGTACCATATAGTTGGGGATACATACACATACAGTAGTACCATATAGTGGGGGATACATACAGATACAGTAGTACCATATAGTGGGGGATACATACAGATACAGTAGTACCATATAGTGGGGGATACATATACAGTAGTACCATATAGTGGTGGATACATACAGTAGTACCATATAGTGGGGATACATACAGATACAGTAGTACCATATAGTGGGGGATACATACAGATACAGTAGTACCATATAGTGGGGATACATACAGATACAGTAGTACCATATAGTGGGGGATACATACAGATACAGTAGTACCATATAGTGGTGGATACATACAGATACAGTAGTACCATATAGTGGGGGATACATACAGATAGAGTAGTACAGATACAGTGGATACAAACAGATACAGTAGTATCATATAGTGGGGATACATACACATACAGTAGTACCATATAGTGGGGATACATACAGTAGTATCATATAGTGGTGGATACAACAGTAGTAGATATAGTGGGGTACCATATATAGTGGGGATACATACAGTAGTAGTACCATATAGTGGGGATACATACAGTAGTACCATATAGTTAGGGGGATACATACAGTAGTACCATATAGTGGGGATACATACAGTACAGTAGTACCATATAGTAGTGGGAAACATACAGATACAGTAGTACCAGATACAGTAGTTAGTTGGGGATACATACACATACAGTAGTACCATATATTGGGATACATACACATACAGTAGTACCATATAGTGGGGGATACATACAGTAGTACCATATAGTGGGGGAATACATACAGTAGTACCATATAGTGGGGATACATACAGTAGTACCATATAGTGGTGGATACATACAGATACAGTAGTGCCATATAGTGGTGGATACATACACATACAGTAGTACCATATAGTGGTGGATACAAACATACATTTGTACCATATAGTGGGGAATACATACAGATAGAGTAGTACCATAAAGTGGGGAATACATACAGATACAGTAGTACCATATAGTGGGGATACATACAGTAGTACCATATAGTGGGGGATACATAATACAGTAGTACCATATAGTGGGGATACATACAGATACAGTAGTGCCATATAGTGGTGGATACATACAGATACAGTAGTACCATATAGTGGGGGATACAAACAGTTACAGTATTATCATAGACACACAATCAACTAGGTCATTCATTGTCACCGCATAATCCTCATTTTATACAGTTCTTATTACAAAGATTGGGTACAGTGTAACTTATAAGGATAAAGATGAAAGCTGTGCCTACTGTGTTTACGCTGTGCCTCTGAGCTGAGTAGGTGTGCTGGCCCCTTGTTTTCAGCCAGTCTCTCCAAAGCTTTGGTCTCAGCTTCATCATCCTCTTCTGTAAGAAATAATTAACAGCGAGGTCAAAATAAATTCCCTCATCCCAACTATACCCAAATACAGACTCAAGTGGACAAAAACAAATCTCAAAAAGGAATGTGGATGAGGGGAGATATTTTAAATGCTGACACAATTACAGCACAGTATTCCTTGTGATACAGGCTTGACTGGTGACTTATGACCAAACTCTAAAGGAAATCTGTGGATCATTATTAGGATTAAGATACAGTCTTTGTTAAGCACTGAATCATGGCAGCTGTGTATAGTGAATTGTGATACAAGTTATGGATGTCCAGCCAAACCTACACCTGAACAATTCACCCCCCTCTCTGACCTGAATAGTGGCCCTGCTCCCATTGTTCAGATCAATCATGTATTGAAGCCTACCAAATATGTTCCTCTTGGACCCAGTTGACTTGAAGCCTTTCTTGAAGAGCTTGGGTGGATCAATAAATAGAGGACTGCAGGTGATGCCATCATCTTTCACAGACTTCTTCTTTACCACTTTTGTCTTGTGTTGCTGGTTCGTTGTGTCTACAAGTCAGTATGAGATCATCAGGGTTTTGGAAGAACAAATGTTGTCATTTCAAGTCAATCAAATCCTCTTGATTCCCACCCAACCAGTAATGAGGCCGTTTAGTTGCCAGTTACAAAACACAAAAAAATCTGACTGAATTTTTCTAAAAATCAATATTTTATGAAAATAAGGACATGTAAAAATAACTTTTGTTTATTTAAAACTTTTACTTGACTTTACTCAGAACAACAATCACTGACCTCAGTCAGTCAGTATGTTTGATTGGAACATAAAACTGTTATGAGTTGGGGAAATCAGACATGTTTCAGAGCAAACAACACCAACCTCTCATTGGTCTCCTTTCTGTTCCCTTTTTCCCTTTCTCATCATTTGATGTACAGTCTGATGCCTTGCTTGTCTTTGTTGACTGTCCCAACTGTTTGAGTTGATCTTGGAAGACTGAAAGTTGTTTGTGGATGGTTTCCATGGAGACAGGTTCCCCATGTGAGGTTTTGGCAGTTTGTGCTGCCACCTGTTGGATGTGGTTCAGGATATTTTGCTCCATCTCCTGAAGTCGACTGTTGACCGTCTGCTCCAGGTTCTTCTGTCGCCTCATCAATGGACTGTTGGTTCAAATATCACCAGTCTTACCACACATGACTTATATTAACGTGATTAACTGGACAGTAAGCTTTACACATGAAAGTGACCACACTGTTTGCAACCAAAAGTGGACTGTGTCTCTGAAACTACTGCTACCCAGACTGCAAGGACTGTGTCCGGGACATTACTGCTACCCAGACTGCATGGACTGTGTCCGGGACACTACTGCTACTCAGACTGCACGGACTGTGTCCGGGACATTACTGCTACCCAGACTGCACGGACTGTGTCCGGGACATTACTGCTACCCAGACTGCATGGACTGTGTCCGGGACATTACTGCTACCCAGACTGCATGGACTGTGTCCGGGACATTACTGCTACCCAGACTGCATGGACTGTGTCCAAGACACTACTGCTACCCAGACTGCATGGACTGTGTCCCAGACACTACTGCTACCCAGACTGCATGGACTGTGTCCGGCACATTACTGCTACCCAGACTGCATGGACTGTGTCCGGGACATTACTGCTACCCAGACTGCATGGACTGTCCCAGACACTACTGCTACCCAGACTGCATGGACTGTGTCCGGGACATTACTGCTACCCAGACTGCACGGACTGTCCAAGACACTACTGCTACCCAGACTGCATGGACTGTGTCCGGGACACTACTGCTACTCAGACTGCATGGACTGTGTCTCTGACACTACTGCTACCCAGACTGCATGGACTGTGTCCGGGACACTACTGCTACCCAGACTGCATGGACTGTGTCCGGGACACTACTGCTACCCAGACTGCATGGACTGTGTCCGGGACACTACTGCTACTCAGACTGCATGGACTGTCCCAGACATTACTGCTACCCAGACTGCATGGACTGTGTCCGGGACACTACTGCTACTCAGACTGCATGGACTGTGTCCAGGACACTACTGCTACTCAGACTGCATGGACTGTGTCCGGGACACTACTGCTACCCAGACTGCATGGACTGTGTCCGGGACACTTCTGCTACCCAGACTGCATGGACTGTGTCCGGGACACTACTGCTACCCAGACTGCATGGACTGTGTCCAGGACACTACTGCTACCCAGACTGCATGGACTGTGTCCGGGACACTACTGCTACCCACTGCATGGACTACCCAGACTGCATGGACTGTGTCCGGGACACTCTGGCTACCCAGACTGCATGGACAGTCCCAGACACTACGGCTACCCAGACTGCATGGACTGTGTCCGGGACATTACTGCTACCCAGACTGCATGGACTATGTCCGGGACACTACTGCTACCCAGACTGCACGGACTGTGTCCGGGACATTACTGCTACCCAGACTGCATGGACTGTGTCCGGGACATTACTGCTACCCAGACTGCATGGACTGTGTCCGGGACACTACTGCTACCCAGACTGCATGGACTGTGTCCGGGACATTACTGCTACCCAGACTGCATGGACTGTGTCTCTGACACTACTGCTACCCAGACTGCATGGACTGTGTCCGGGACATTACTGCTACCCAGACTGCATGGACTGTGTCCGGGACACTACTGACCTGAGGAGGGGAGCAGGGTCACTGGAGACTGGGGCCTCGGCACTCACGGGGGGAGATGATGACAGTTTGGCCTTTTTACCAACTGTGTGTAGGGGTGCTGAGTTACTCCTCTTCAGTTTCGACTGATGACTTACGGCTGACACAACTAGAATTCATAGGGACATGAATATGAGCACCAAAGAAATAATTTATGAAAGTAACATACAAAAAACAGCATCACTTTTTATTAAAGGTCACATGCAACGTAAAACAACACTTTGCAGATCCTGATACCTTTCGGTGTGGACTTACAGTAACAAATTATCAAAAATGATAATTCAACTTATAAAGTTGAAAAATAACGCGATGAAAAAACCCCCACGAAATTGGAGTTCAAACGATTCACTACGAGCTGGGGTGAAAGTGGTTTCCACAGCTGTGCTGCACTGCTATCATGGCGCATGCGCAGTGATTAGGTTCACACAGCTTGAAGTGGGGATTCCCGGATTATATAAGGTCGTGAGGAGTAGTCTAATCTTGGTTGTGTACACTAGTGTTGGGAATTGGCTGAAATATCACAATTGATAATTGCTTCATTACCAACGAACAATCATCGAAAAAAATTGGTTAGCGTCATTTTTCAGATTTTCCTATCCAGGTTGTTATTGCAAATATGTATTACATGATGCAACTTGCTACTTTAAAGTGATGACAAATATATCATGAACATAAACTTCCTGGAGTCTTAGAGAAATATTCAGTCATGACTTTTCAGTTAGTGAAGTGAGTTTTCTAAGAATTAAACAAGTTTTCAGGCCCTGCCAACTTCGAAGATATGTTCCATCGTAAAGTGTTTCAAAGACTAAAACAGTAGTTCCAAAATTGTTTATGTTATGGTATGGACATTGGCATTAATTGTTACGGTAGTGACACAATAACGGTAGTGACATTTTTATTAATAGCCAGTTTTGTATGTTTACTTTAAAAGATAATTTGATTAAATTGTCAGTCAGATATTTCAGAATGTTTGAAGAATATGTAATAGGCAAAAGATTTACTTACGGATGTCCCTGTCATGTAAAAAACAGGTAAAGACTGCATGTTACGGCAGTGACATTGTGACGGTATATAATGTCACTACCGTCACGGCCCTATCACAGCCGTGTTCTTCTTTGTCACAGCCGTTACACTACCCTGTCCCTAATGTAACAACAAATTCATACTTATATGCTTATTGATTTTATTCATTTGATACAAAAGTTTTATGTTAAATAAGATTCCAAAACATTTGTTATCTTTGAATTGAAAATTTAGATACAAACAACATTAAATTAGAAAAATGTCACTGCGGTCACAATATCTGTCCTTGCCGTAACAAAACCCATGGGAACGGCAGTGACCGTAACGGTAGTGACAGCCACTAACAATATCAGTTTTAAAACAATAACTGGTCCCCAAAGTTTACTGAGCATCTGTCTTCAAATGATTTCCCCTACTGTCTAAGGTACTTGGCATTGTTTGGCTTCACAAAATTAACTGGTTTCAGTGGTAACCACCGTAACGGTAAGGACATACAAAAATCTCAGATATCATTTTGTACACACATTTTTTGCGATAAAATTCAGAAAAATGAATTTTTTGTGTCAGTGTTTGACAGCCATGTTTCCTCGGTGCCATTGCTTGCAAATATGAAGTAGAATCAGAAGACAGTAGAAATATTTGCACACTACATATAACGAGTCCTGCCCACTAGTGAAGAGGCTAACTTACAATGAAATATGTGTTAATTTACTGTTTGCTATGCATGAATTACAGTTTTATTGAAGTTAATATGTTCTTGTTGCTGCTTTGTGTAATAATAGAAAATATAATCCCTTTGTTTAAATTTTACAGCTTACCTTTTGTGCAGTAGGTTATACACTTGGTTCAGTAGAAAAACAAATGATTCACTCATTCTATTGCTTCCTGATACTCTTATTATTCTGGGGAGTATGTCCCAATGTCATTTCCTCCTACCTGAAACTGAACTTGCCATGGTTTTTAGGACGCTTTCCAATTATCAGGGGCAATCCCATGGTTTAACTGGATTCACTATAACTCTGTCTTCACTCAATAACTAAGTTATTAATATATAAATAAGGCTCAACACATACATGTACTTTGTATGTTATTTGCTGTGGATAAAGTTGTTACTTTTTGATCCATTATGTATCTCAGGACCCTAAGTATGTTTTTGAGATTTGAAAATATACAGCGTAATAAAATCCCTGCAGCCCCTATTGTTTGGCAGATCCCTTACTCATGACATGGTAAGTGGGGATACTCTACAGGGAGAATTACAATTTCCACAACAGTCCTGGCCTGGCTTTGTACAAGCACAACATTTCCAAAGCATTGTTTGGATTCTTGGCCAGCAAATGTCCCCAGCCCCTCATACTTCTCCAATGATCAAGCTCAATTGGGGATCAGTCTGATGCATTCAGTCTTTGATTTGCCTGGTCTTTTGTCAATAATGGTATCTGTTAAAATGCTGACTGATGCATTATAACATTCACTTTCTCTAAGATCACAAGCAACAAAAACCAAACATAATTAAACATAATTATCACATATTCATGACATATAATATACATTGCTGATTATGAAAAAAACCCAAATAAACAAAATTATAAGCGTACAATCGCAAACCAAAAGTGCAATATTTTGTGCTTGGGTTTACTTCCCTCGAAACGAAGCACCCGAGATACCGAACCCAGTCAGAGCAGGAGGGTGTGCACTTAAGTGTAATGAAGACTTTTATTGCCTGGTTCATTTGTCGATACGCTCAGGGCTCTTTGTGTGTATGAGTCATTCTCAAAATTGGTGCATATTTATGTTATATGTTTGTACCTGACAAACTTGAGTCAAAATCAGTAATATTTTTAAGGCAACCAACTTATTTTAGTTTATTCTACACTTTACAGTAACAAATTAGGGAAAAAAAAAAATTTCTATATTTATTTTAACCCCCAACACCACCCAATTTTCATGTGTCACAACTCCACTGGCCGATGTGTAATTTGATTTTTTTGGTCTTTTTCATGTTTTTCAAAAGAAATAATTGAACATATCATAATTAATGATGTTACAGCTGCATGCCTGGTGGGGTTTAACCTTTTCTGAATGGAACATTATTTTGTTAAAAAAGGTCAAACTTTGTCACAAGGTTTGATGTCACTCCCGTAACATCATCCCAAAAATTGCAATAATGATTACTCCCTGTTATCAGTGTTTAGATCGTATAGAGATGAGGTGAGGTGAGGTGAAATTGAGTTTAACGTCGTGCTTGAGAATATTTCGCTCATATGAAAACGTGCATGCGTGTGTATGTGTATGTGCGGCTGCTTGTACTAGCCCAGACTTAAGCTGGTTTTATAGTGCCAGCCCACTGAGATACCATGCCGCAGTGAAGCATGAATACCCCACTCAGACACATTATACTGACTCCGAGCCGACCAGTCCTAGTACCCATTAATGCCGAACGCCAGGCAGGGACCAGCAAGTACCATATTTTAACGTCGTTTGGTATGACGCGGTCGGGGATCGAACCCGCGACCTTCCGCTCTCCGGGCTCTAACCACTGCACCACGGAGGCGGTCTTATAGAGATGATGTATATTGGAAGTGATATTAGTCTGTTTGAGGTCACCTTTTTACTACCTGCACAGTGTAGTCTGCTCAGTGAGAAATTGCACCCTGTGCTATGATGCTGGGTTTAATACTTACCCTTCTCATCACAGGCTAGGATAGTATACTCTCCCTCGGAATGCACAAAGAAAAGAGTAACAAAATAGGATATCTCACCTGGAGCTTCCTTGACGCACACAGTGTTGGTGTTGACAATCTTCTTGCTCTTACTGGCAAAGTTGAGGGTACAGTAAGTGTCGTAGTAGTAGTGCTCCTCAGGAGCAATGTTGGTGATCATGATGGAATGACAAGACCCTCCGATGGAATCCTACATACACAAGCACACTCATAATGACACTGACAAGTCAGTAGGATAATACTAGCAACAGCGGAAAAATATTCATGTGATGGTCATGTTGGTTGAATGCTGATTGTGGTACTCTGTGCATTGCTTTCAGTAGAACTGACTGACGTAGTTAAGTTGGGACAGACCAGGAAAGCTTGCTTCATGCAGCCATAAATTACTTGATAACATTTAGTCAACATATATGACAAACAAAAAGTCATAAATTTTCATTATAATGAAAACAAAGTAATTTTTTATTTCATAAAGATATTTGTAACCGTGCTAATTCATACAGCCTACCTGCAACAGTCGAGTCAGCTTGCTGTTTCTGTAGGGAATTCTTGGCTGGAAAACAAACAACTGGTTATGAACAACTACAAAAATATGATGATGAACTACACTTTATTGAAAGCTGGTAACTGACAATCAAGGCTGGGGGTGCGTTCAGGTGTGATGTTTTCCTGTTCTTGGTGTTTCAACTACCATTCGGAAATGAGAAGAGATAGAAGTCAGTATGAGACAGGATGAGGTGAAATTATTGTATTTATTAAGCATGGCATGATAGTTTATACCTTTTATTAGGTACTGACCTACCATATGTATTATTGCTGGTTGTGACATTTGAGGTAATCAGTCCAACAGAGAACACATAATGGATCACCAAAGTTCGAAAATATAGCCACAAACCTGAAGCCTGGGTCTAGTAGAATTTCTTTAAGCTTTCTGCTCAGAAACTTGGCAGTACATGATATTTGGCTATTAGACTGAGTGCTGGCTACAGATTGCTATTATCTTACCAGACCACAGTTGATGGCATCTACCACCTCTCCAAGAGAAAACAGAGACTTGTTGATGGCACCACTCTCTTTCAGTCTGAAAGTCAAACAATCAACCCAATGGTCAGGGGATCAGCATTTCATTTCCATGAAATATTTCATAAGTTATACAATAATTCCCATTTATACAAGTGACTGACTGACTGAGTTTAGTTTTACGCCGCTTTTAGCAATATTCCAGCAACATCACAGGGGGGGACACCAGAAATGGGCTTCACACATTGTGCCCATGTGGGGAATCGAACCCGGGGCTTCGGCGTGACGAGCCAACGCTTTAACCACTAGGCTACCCCACGGCCCCCCCATTTATACAAGATATTACCAGTGTACCAGTTAAATGAACACAAACGTTGAACATGGATATATATGTGATATTACTCTCTGCGAAGCAACAATCAGAGTTTGAAAGTTGGGTGTGGCCTTCATCCCACCTCACCTATAGTTCAGTGTGACCCCATAATGACAGAGGATCATGGGAGGAAGTGAACCCAGTGATACAGGTCACAGCTGTTTGCAATAAGAACAGGTCAGGAAGGCATATCAGGGTGTAATTTCGCTATTTGCAACCTGCACTGGCACATGTTCAAAATGGCTGATGCAGGTAACCTTTAGTAACAGGTAACAATAAATCCTCCAACATCTTATAGCTGTCATCATGTGTTTTGATTGGTGGTGACTGGAAGTAATGTGTTTCTCTCCACATGACTTGTTACAGCATTAACATTTGTGTACTGATACTGCTACGTAGCAGTAATCATATAACTGAGATTTATAAATAAAGGTATTGCAAAATTCGAACAAACCTGTAGAGGTTTCAGATTCTTTGAAAAGGGTCCTCCTTGGGGTACTTATATGCATTAAAATGTCCATTTTAAATTCCTACGACATAAATAAAATATTTACAAAACAAACAACTTGTTTCTGTCTTGTGAGACCACCCCTACAGGACCCCTGGGCTCCAACAGCCAAGAGCAGGTAACTCTAAGCGTGAACCTCGTACCTCACTTTTCATGCTGAACGAACGCAGACAGAATGAGGGGAGGTGGGCGGTCCTCCCCTAAGGAGGACTCTTTTAAAAGAATCAGAAACCTCTACAGGTTTGTTCAAATCTTTTTCAAAAGAGATCCTCCTTGGGGTACTTATCTGCATAAGACAGACTCCCATGGACATAGAGTCGGGAGTGGTATTCTGTCTGGCATACAATACCCTTCACAAAGTGGAATTCCCCAATCGACTGAGAGAGTGAAAAACACACTTACCCTGTCACCTGACCACTGCTGTCAATCAGGCAGGGGCGTGGTTAGGGTGAGGGACAATAGATGCCAAGCTTAATAGCCTGATAGGCTGAGAGCATATAAAGAAATCGCACCCCCAACCAATGAAATTTGGATGTGGGTCATAACTGACATGTCACCTAACCCCACTATAAACCCAGGAAGCTATGCATACTGAAGGTGAATAGAAAGGGAATGTTAAAAGGAATCGTAAAAACGAATCAGGTAAACCATCACGATAGAACTATAAAAACCTTCCAGTAGCAAATGCAATGGAAGGCGAGAAAGCTCAATCGGCAAGAGAGTCTCAACCCTGCCCACTGGAGAGAACCACACGACCAAACTGAGCACGCTCTCTGGAGTGCTTATCGAGTTGGTAATGTCGAATAAACGTATTCGGACGGCTCCAAATAGCTGCCGAGCAGATCTCCTCAATGGGCAGGGCTGCAGCATAAGCTTTAGATGTGGCTACTGCCCTAACCGAGTGAGCTTTCAACCCTTCTGGGGGAGTTAATCCTTTATGTACATAGCCCATACAAATGGCAGAGACAAGCCACCTAGAAATGGCTTGCCTGTTCGCTGTAAGACCAGCCTTGCCACCGCCATAACAGCAGAACAGCTGTTTATCCTTACGGATAGACGCTGTTCGTTTGATATAAGACTTGAGAGTCTTACGGACATCTAAGATGTGAGCACGTCGAAGAGAGGTACCGTACGATAGAGTCTGCAGTAAAGCAGGAAGCTCAATAGGCGCCGTTATGTGAAAGGAGCCGACAATCTTAGTCTGGCAGGCGAATGCTAACTCTGTCTTTATGAAAAACACCGACCCTCCTGCCAGACGTTACCACCACAAGAAAAGCTGCCTTCCAACTTAACAGTTGGAGTGAAAGAGACGATAGATCGTAAAAGAGAGGAACAGACATCCAATCAAGAACGATTGACAAGTCCCACGGGGGACTAATGCGCCGGACAGTCGGACGCTAAGAAGAGCTGCACCAGAGGGTGTTGACCTAAGACAACACCGTCGGTAGGTGTGTGGAAAGCTGATATAGCCGTAGAGTAACCACGAATGGTGGACGCGGCTCGACCGGCATCCAGACGTGATTGCAAAACATCCAACACTTCGCCTAGAGTCAAAGAAAAGGGATCAAGAATCACCCTGTTTCCACACCAGCGCGCATTACAGGCCCATCTATCCTCGTATTGAATGTTTGTCGAATCCCTCCGCGAAGCCAGAATTGTGTCTGCAACTGATGCAGAGATTCCGCTCCCCTGGAGGCGATTCCTGACAGGGGCCACTGAATCCCCACACCCACTGAATCCTGGGATTGGGGTGTGGCGCTCCTTTCTGGGATAGTAGATCCGGTTGAAAGGGTAATAGTACAGGAGGCTGAGCCAGAAACCTGAAGATTACCGGAAGCCAGCGTTGAGCTGACCAAAGAGGTGCAAGCAGCACAAGTAGGCGCGCTGGTTGGGTGGTTAGCTGCGAGAGGACCCTGGGAATCAGCGGCATAGGTGGGAACGCCCACAGAACCCTGTCCGTCCAGAGGCGATGGCTCTCGGATCCGGTATCCGGGAGCAAAACAACGGTATTTGATTCGTCGCTCAAGAGGCAAACAGATCCACCTGGAACGACCCGAACAACTGGGAGATAATCCCGAATATCCCCCAATCGAGCATCCACCCGTGGGGGACCAGGATACGTTGTGAGACTGAGAGAGCATTCGCACAGGAACGTTGTCCACCCCCGGGAGATAGACAGGCATCACCTGAATGTTGAACCGATCGCACTAGAGCAGAAACTGCCACGCCTCCTGAAGGAGAGTCGGTGACACCGTACCGCCTTGCTTGAGAATATAGGTCATCGCTGTTTGGTTGTCCATTTCTAGACGAACCACCCGGCTTCGAACCTGATCCACGAAGTGTTCGAACATCAACCGGACCGCTCTCAATTCTAGTACATTTATGTTGAGGTTCACCTTGTTCTCCGACCAAAGGCCCGATACTGTGAGGTCGCCTAAGACACCTTCCCGTGAGGGAGACGTCCGTTTGAATTGAGACCGACGAGTCGGAAACTCCAAAGGGAGCCCTCTGGATAAGTTCCCGGGCGTCTGTCCACCACCTGAGATGAGGTAATAACCACTCCGGAGTCGCGAGAATCATCTCGTAACTCTCCGAATGGGACCACAGTTGAGCTAATGCTTGCTGAATCGGTCGCATTGTCAACCTCGCACGCCAAACTACGTCCACTGTTGCTGCCATGCTGCCCAGCAATCGATGCCACACTCGTGCTGGTAGCATGGGGGATGCGAGGAACTGTCGGTCCAGGCGGTCGGGAGACAGGGAGACTAAACCTCTCCTGGTCTCGAACCGCGCCCCACAGAAAAATCAGATCCTGTGTTGGAACAAGCTCTGGTTTCTTGAGATTGATAACCCACCCCAGCTTGGTGAGAATGTTCATCACGGAAAGTGTCGCATCTTGGCTCAAGTGAGTGGCAAGCGCGCTCTGAGTAACCAGTCGTCCAAGTACGGGTGGCAACACCGACCCTGTGCCCTGGCGACTTGCGCTGGAATCAACATAAGTGTGGTGAACACCCTTGGTGCCGTGGAGATGCCGAAGGGGAGCACACGAAACTGATAGCACTTCCCGTCAAATGAAAACCGAAGGTATTGACGAAAGTCGGGGTGCATTGGAACATGGAGGTACGCGTCTTTGAGGTCGATTGACATGAGCCAATCGCATGCCTCTACAGATGACATCACTGAACGCAGTGTCTCCATCTTGAAAGACGGTACCTCGATCATCTTTTTCTGACCTTTTAGATTTAGTATAGGCCTAAACCCTCCATCCTTCTTGGTGACTAGGAAATAAGTCGAGTAATAACCAACTTCTTCCTGCCCAGCCGGGACCACCTCGATGGCTGCCTTGTCCAGTAATGACTGGACCTCGGCACGGAGTATCTCCGCCTTCTCCTGAGAAGATGGCACTGGCGTGCGACGAATTCCGGAGAGGGCGGAAGGACCATGTGTCCACTGAGGCATGTGACCATCCCTGAGTGTGGACAGGACGCAGGGATTTGAGGTGACTTTTTCCCATTCCTGCAGAAATAGGGAAAGTCGGCCGCCTGCCCTTGCCTTTGCCACGGCGAGACTGGAGTGGCGCCGACCACTTATGAGTCTCTTTCCCCGACACGGGAGAATAAGCTGAGGCTAGAACCGGGGGCCTAGCACGAAAGCTGGAAGGCTGTTCCAATAAGGGTTTAGAATCCTTAAACGTGGATACAGCTTCCGCGGCCTCCCGAACAACCATAATAGCGCCAAGGAACATTGTGGAACCCAACTTAAATGGTAAGGCAACTAGGGCTTGTTGTGTGGCGGGAGAATAACGGGCTACTGAAAGCCACAAGCGCCTAAGTCCCATAACTGCGCTCATCATCTGACAAGCGCAACTCATGATGGAGTCCCGCGCCAGATGGGAGTGCACTTCGGTAAGTTGCCGAGCCAATATGTGAGATGATGCCTCATCCTCACCCTGGCCAATGTCGATAAGCTGTCTCTGCAGCGCCAACAAATATGCCGAGTGAATAACCACTCGGAGTTGTTGGCCTTCATTATGGAACTGTTCTTCGAACGTCCGATAAGCGGCCTTAAGGGCTTGACTTGGCACCAAAGGGAGGCAGACCTTGCCTAGCAGGAGGGGTTGAATAACCTCACTGATAAGCAAGGGTAAAATGCGAAGGCGATTCTCGGCAACCCTGCTCGGAGCGAATGCTTCCCGGGAAGCCTGAACTCCAAGGGGTTGGGACTGTCCGAGGGTATAAATACCTGTGGCAGGACAGTTGCGATGCGATCTCACACCTGCCGCAGTGACGACCCGAGGGAGAAAGAAACATCTCCCGGCGCCAACGCTTTAACCACTAGGCTACCCAACCGCCCCCGGTAGCCGGAGACACCGTAACAGGTGCCGACTGTCTGATAGCCGGAGCCAAAGCCATAAGAGGAGCAGAAGCCGTATGGCCAGTAACCAGTAACTGATCCGAGCCAGGGATAGATCCCGGGCCGGTGACAGAACCAGAGGGAGGCCCGAACCCGGCACTGAGGCTCGGGTCGGTACTACACCCAGGGGTTGGACCCGCCCCAAAACTAGTGCTCGGATTGGGACCACCCCCCACAGATGCACCGGTGCCATCCCCGCCACCCGATTTGGCCCCGATCTCCAGCCGGAGACAGACACCGCATCAGATATGAGGGACTTAACTGAAGACATCTGCTGCTGTAATAAATTTAAAGGATATATGCTGTATACGGGACTCCAGTGCTCGCCCAACCATCCGCTTGGGCGGAAAGGGAGAGAGTGACAAGTAAGGCTGGTCACATGACTGTTTGCGCGGGAAAAGGGAGGTGACTTGTGGGTGGGTGTACTTTTATGTCCGCTATAGGGAACTACAATGGATTCAAGTGTTCCACTAACATTCGCATAGAGGCTTCTTACCAAAGGAGATAACCTGGTAACAGAGGCATGCAATGTTGTACAGTTTCAGTGTAGAGGTCAGTGTTGCAATCGGTTTTTCAACCGGCAACAGCAGAAGTAGCAGAAAACAGTGTACACAGATAAAACACAGAATAAAAGTTTGCTGTGTTGGAACCGTGGGAGTTTTTAATCGATACAGACATTAGCAGCGGTGACAAGGCTATAGCAAAGAGCCGGGACTGTGAGAACAATTGCACAAATATTATGTATAAAATAGACGCACGGGCGATATTGAATATAATAAAACAATACACTAGACTAGCGAATACAAAGTATAACACTAGACTACCCGTATACACAATAAAAAAAGTGCAAATACTGAACAACCTAGCTACACGTGGCGCTAAACATGCGCACAAGGGCTAATCATTGAAAAACATGACTCACCTATTCTGACTGAAAAGAAAAGTGTGAGACATGCTAAATAAAAGATGAAAGTACCACCTACTGAACCATAAAGGAAAGTAGGCCCTACAGACAGCTACAAATTGGTACTGAAAAATATTTGAATGTACTTGTTATGAAAATTGTGAAACAAGTATGTATGTTACCCTTTTAGAACCAGTGACATTTCTTTATGGTGCAGCCAAAATTTTGATGGTGCAGCCAAACCTATGAGCCAGGTTGCACTCGGTGCAGGTTAAAAAAACCCGAAATATACGTGATGCCACATAGTGACAACATGATGAGACAACATGATGAGACCTCGCCTTGGTTCTAATGACTGCTATGAGGCCAGAGATCCTAATGTAGAACTAACCTAATGCCCTTGTTGCCTGTCCTCCGATTGTCCTCCGACCCTGCGAGGTCAATGAGATAGATCTTGCCCTGGTATTCCTTGTAGGGGGCACACAGCTGAGTCTTCCGAACCTTCAACATCAGGATACTGTGGCTGCGACTTGACCTGTCATTGAGCTTAGTGGCTGCAACAGTCCTGAAAACAGTTACAAAGACAAGGATAAGTGACGGGGAAATTAAAACAAAAGATGATTTAGGCAATACAATATGAAGAAGGTGAAAGACAATAGGACTATAGGTCACAAATATAACAACTCTGTCATGACAGCTAGCATCAACATGTTTTACCAGATTGACCCTGTATACACTGAGGCAGTAACCCTGAACATGCACTAGCTCGTATACAAATATCCATGCATGCTTTCCAAAGGTATGACACAGTGGTCACTGGTGGCACATGGCCTCTTGGCTTGTCAGCACACGCACAGCTGTTCCTTCATGCAGTTCTAATGGGTGAAAACCCAATCTCACACACTAAAGGCGAACTCACACAGGTCGGCCCGTCGAATCGATATGCCCAATTCGACTCAGTCGTATCGTCTGAGTGATTAATCGAATTCAACAAACAGTACAAATCTGCCACTTTAACCTACATTGATTGTGTCACGAGCATGTACAACCTGTTGTAGTTATTCGGCAAGATCAGCCAATCAGATTGCGTTTTGGTGTCACATGGTAAATATTTGTGTACAAGCGCAAAACATAGGTGGCTTCGTCTGCTTCAAAACCACGCCTCAGTTTTTCACAGGAGGAAACGGAGCATTTTGTTGCTGATGATCTGAGTCACGAAACACTATGGAATATTACAAGCAGGGATTATTCCAAAAGACTGACTGACTGAGTTTAGTTTTACGTCGCTTTTAGCAATATTCCAGCAATATCACGGCGGGGGACACCAGAAATGGGCTTAACACATTGTGCCCATGAGGGGAATCGAACCCGGATCCTCGGCGTGACGAGCCAACGCTTTAACCACTAGGCTACCCCACCGCCCCTATTCCAAAAGAGAAAAGAGGAATGCTGTGCTAACGGCGATCAGCTTGGTTACAATGTGCCGACCTGTCTGAGTCGCACTTAACATGATATCGAAACACATACAACATACTACACATACTCTTTATCATACATGAAGATTTACCTGTTATTTGAAGCTGGACCAAACAGATTCTTGAATTCATCGAAATTCTTTATTGTCTTCTCAGCGAGGCCAGCAACAAAGATATTATGATTTCCGTCCTCTCTTATTGGGAGGTCACAGTTTCTTGGTTCCAGCAGGTCTTGAACCTATGTCAATTATTACTGTTGTATTACTGTATTTGTTTAGCATGGATCGATACATTTTCTGAATTTCATTACTTATTTTAACAACCCAAGAAAGGATTGAAATAGGGTGGGGTGTTGGCAGATTACTTGTGCATCTTACAAATAAAAGTCTCATGCTGGACCCCAGACAGGTTAAAAAGGATTTTCTGGCATATTTTTGTAAATGTGCATCCAATAGGACTCTACTATCAAAGCAATAACATTAATGCTAAGTTTACATGTATGAAAGGTGCTTTCTTTGTGTCTGTCGTTATATTTTTTCATTTTCAGGGTGATTACAGTTTATATTATCCCAAGATGAATTCAGACAATTTGAATGTCCAATTTTTTCACTATTGCCTGTCACAAAATGTTCATTAATAGCTGACCTTGGACAAACATCAAATTGTTAGTCCTTCACACAGCCCACCTCTACTTCTCCTCTCCAAAAGCCAAGACATCACACACAAACAATACCATTACCTTTTCATTATAAATCTCCAGATATGAGAAGGCCACCTCAAACTTGTGTGAATGGGGTTGTACTTGTACACCTATGTCCTTGGTCTTCCTATCAATTGTCTGGAAGAGACCGTTGATAACTCTCGGGATAACACCAGGATCTGCTGGCGACCCAAGCATTGTGTGGGTCTTACCTGAAACATACAAACCCTCTGCTGTCTCACCATTGAAGTTTACCAGCAGCTACGGATAGCATAAAATACTGAAAGTATCAAGAACCTATATTAGGTTCACAATATCAAGAAACACAATATGCAAACCCCCACCAGCTTAGGGCAAGAGTGGTTAAAGACCATTGCACTAATTTGCAGTATGTGTTACTGATCAAATTGAGTTACCTGCCCCTGTTGGACCATATGCAAATATGGAAACATTCTCCCCCTCTAAGCTGCGGTGGAGTAGATTCTTTATACATTCATTGTAGATAAGCTGTTGGGAGCTGGATGAATCGTAAACACTGGAGAAACTGGAAACAAAATCACCATAAACATGATAAAGATAATCTGGGAGGCCAGATAATACTTACAGGAAAGGACATTAATCATGGTAATAACATTCACAAATGATAAACTTCACCAATCAGATTATTTGGAATACTCGTTAATACTACTTAAAGTTTAGCTAAAACCTATTCCAATCAAATATCATGATTGTGGTTTTTGACATGCCCATATCCTCCCTCAAGAATGTAAACATTCCCAAATTGGAACAAATCCCAGATCATGTTATTCAACTAGAGTTATGGTATTCACTGTTAAATATCACTGACAGTGAGTAAGACCAGTAAAGTGCAAGAAGCTTTTACTTTTATGTTTAGTGATTCATTATTCCATTGTATTTAATGTGATGACATTTTATGAATAGTTAAAATACCTTATAAATGTCTGAAAATAAGTACTGAATCATATATTCACAATTTTGAACAAAACAGTGATTTCTGCCAAATTTGCCCGCTTGATTGGTGCCTAAAACAAAGTCAAACTATAAGAAAAGGAGCATATATATGCCAATAAATGTTTCAATGTTCCCTTCACCATACTTTAGCACAGATGAAGAACCAGAAGCGATCTCCAGCACCCACCCTATTTATGAGAGCTGATAGAGAGTTGAGGCAGTAGAACTTACTCATATTTGATGTTCTCGTTGATGTTTCTATGGTTGAATATTTCCACTGAGTCTGTACCTGCACTCACACATATCTTAGCATCTTCTTTTAAAGATGGTCCGAACACGTATCACAACTTTCACTTTGGTCTGTTTCTTGTCCATGATTTTTCTGGAAAGTAAATTTACAATATTCCACTGATTATTCCAGTGATTTAGTGATATAAATAATCGGTACACATGCATTATACCGGATACCTGCCTGCCATAATTAATTAGGTCACGTGATGCGAACGCGGAAATATGAAAAAATATAAAACTGAGATGAAAATAACCCTAACCTAACCCTGCTAGGTATCCGGTATAATGCAATCTAGTCAAATAATCAATGGTCCCTATCAAGCCTATGAAGAAGACCACACATCACCAGACTTGGAATTTTATTCATCTTTTAATCCTCCTTCCCAATATATTATGAGCTAGACTCAAAAAAGCAGATGGAAGAGCAGGAAAAGTTTAATGTTTTGTTCTGAAACAGTTTATTGGTCAAAATCTAACAAACATGATCTAGATATAAGCTGATCAGTCTGCTGATAGTGATAATGCCAAACACTGCAAAATGCTGCATGAACCGACATTTATGTAGCATATGGTATGCGTATGCCATCCAAAAATATAAAAACTTAGGGTTAGGTTAGGATGGCGAACATATCCTATAGTGGCTCCGAAATGTCCACTGATAACCGTTCCTCCCAAACAGCATGTTAGCATGTTGTAAACATGGTGCATCTTCTTTTGTAACCTTGATGTTGCTGGGGGGAATACTTGTCCCAAAATACGTAATAAATGTGTAATAAAATTAATATGGGGCCAAAATATGTACAGCAGGTGGAGGATGGTTATTAATAAACCTTATGACAATGATCCATTATCCACACACAAATTGTCACAAATACACCTGAAGATTGATAATTTGGCAATTACTAAAATCTGCTTAAGTGTGACATTCATACATCACGCAGGTGAATTATTTAACATAAAGTAATACACAAAAAGAATCCGGTAACCCAAACATACTGAATATTGGCTTAAAACTCACATTCACAGCCCCGTCAAAACAATCACTGGGACAGAATTTGCATTTCCAATGTCTTTATTCTATGGGCTTCAATAATTACGGCAATGTTGTAAAACGCGTTTAGTATGTGCAACTCATATTTCAAGCTCACCTATGTGCATGCGCTGATTGGAATAAATAAGCGACAGATACGTTATTATAAAATGTTCCTTACACGTTTTTGTTGATAAACTGTTTTGAAAATGGCTCCCTCTGTTGTTCCAACCAATCACAGTCTTGTCAGCATTCGTAACTACTCGCCTCTTTCCGTGACCTACAAGAATACATCCGGCTTGCCGGAATGACACGAGTAGTTACGAATGTCTTCATTCGTGACCCACTCGTGTTATTCCGGGACAAGCCGAATACCGAAGGTTACGGAAAGGGGCGAGTGGTGACGAATGGAATGTCTTGTCAGGGACCATTCGTAACTACTCGGGTCATTCCGGCAAGCCGGATGTCTTCTTGGTCACGGAAAGAGGCGAGTAGTTACGAATGGGGTTTGGCTCGAAACCGGTATCGGAAACATCCGGTACTGCAGAATTATCGTTCTTGCTCAAAGCTCATAGCAGCGACAAATAGGCCACGCTCTTATTCACTAATGAAATGTGTGAGTTGCACGCGCTAAGATAGAGCTTGTATGTTGACTTGTATGTAATATTTCTAAAACAACTACTATCAGAAGTAGAATTTTAATTGCACATATATGACATATAATCAAGTTTTGGTGTCTAGACTTAGTTACTTGAGGTTATTTATGTTGAGTGATATAATTTGTTGGTTATTTTCCGATAGTTGAATATAACTATTAGTATCATATTAAACGTTGATATGTAAATTGTGAGTAAGTTGTAAGCGTGTTACAATCAATGTGTTTTTGTATGTCAAAATGGCTTCTGCTCTTCCTCCCCGTATTTTGAGAAATGACCACCAAAAAACCCAGAAAGATCGACCGTCTCTGGATACCTTGCAACAAATGGGTTTTACAAAACAAAGGGCGTAAGTGATGTTTTCTATTTTCTATTGTTAGTGAGTGACAGTTCTTTGGCAATGTATTATCGAGATTTTAACATGAAACTTTAGTGACTCACAAAATCGTGACAAATGTCAAACTATATTGAGTGTTGTATCTTGGTTACTTCCGGGTTAATGAATGGGATACTTGCAAATGAGTGTGCACACTTTAGTCCAAAGCGCCGGGTGCAACGATTGTACTTTCTAACTTTTTGTCCCTTATCATGCTTATACTGACTGAGAATGGTCAATGGAACAGTGAGATAATGATGATTTTAGATTTTAGACAATTTCCCCACCAATAACAGGACATTTAGTAGGGCTGCAACAAAGCCACTATGAATTTTATACATATCACGAATATTGGGTAACGTATACAAATATTGGGTAACGAATACAATTACATGTCATCAGTTGATGTATTATTCATTGTATCAAGTGAAACAATAACAAAATAAATTCCTCTAAGATCTTTTGTACATGACAGTTTTTGTGGTGGAGTTAGCCTGGAGGTTAAAGCGTTTGCTCGTCACGCCAAAGACCCGGGTTCAATTCCCCACATGGGTACAGTGTGTGAAGCCTATTTCCGGTGGGTGGACAGACAAAAGCCCCACATGACCGAAGCCCCATAGACAAAAGACCCATATTGCTGGCATATTGCTAAAAGTGGCGTAAAACCAAACTCACTCACTCACATGACTGTTAAAATTACGATGACAGTGACCCAGGCATTTACCTTGATGTACAAAAGTAGGGGTCCAGGGTACCCCATCAATATATTTACAGGTTCTTCCTGGTAATCATGGTAATGTGATGGTCCTGTAAAGCGCAGAAACAGGACTCGAAAATTCCACTCGTCCTCTCGTATTGACAAGTACAATTTTTTAGGGCAAGTGAAAAACATAATTTGCTCGTCCTAGAGGACAAGTACGTTTTCAGACCCAACTATTTTTCAAAACAACAAGTTTAAGTTTTAACATCGTCATTCCCGATTAGCAGTATTTTCAAACCGCAAAGTTTTAAGTCTTCATGTGGTTTGATATCCATTTTTAGCAGATATCATGGAGCATGGTTTTGTAACCTAAATGCTTCGAATATCATGACTGGCTGCTATTAATAAACTGACCAATGAGAAAAATCATCACAACATGAATGTTACTGCTGTCGAATCAGAATAAGCTTTATAACAGGGAATTCCCTGCTTGTCATTACCGATCGTAGTCAACTTTTCTTTTGGGTGATGATTTGTTTTTATTATTATACATAGGTAATTTCCAGGTTAGATAAAATACTTGATATATTTTACCACGTACACTAAAATGAAAATTAGATTAAACAGACGAGGTGGAAATTTTGATTTAATCTTTTAGATGTTTTAATTTAATTCTGACATTTAGAAAACACACTTGCCAGGTGTCACTGATATTTTAAACAAGTTTATATAGTTCACTAATTCATGCTTTGTTGGGTTTACAACGTCATCTCCAGATCTTGCCATGATGAGTGGAGTAGCAGTCCTTGAAGTGTTTCCATTAGTTTTAGTACTGACTTTTAAAGTAAACCATGTAAACAGTTTGTTCCAGTCCAGACTAAAAGTAACATTTTTCTTCTTCTTTGAAGTTCAGCTATCTTAAATGGTGAACGAATTAAATTTTGTCAAAGATTTTGTACAGAAGACAAAGTAGGTAATGTTTATTCTAGTTTTATTCCAAGCAAAATTTTGAAATAAAATAATTTAAATTTACATTCATTGTGATGCATAATCTATAGGGCAAGTACAATTTTAGAAGGACGAGTGGAAAGTTCATATTACTCGCCCTGCAGGGCGAGTGCAGATTTTTGAATTTTTCAAGCCGTGAGAAATGGTGTATTGGAGTGTACAGTCAGATAATTACTTTAGAAGCTGGAATCAGATGATGTGGACAGTGGTCAGGACTGATGGGTGAAATAACAGACAAGGATAACCATCTTGAAGCGCTGTACATAGCTACGTTCTCGGCAATTGTATGTGTATCTCCACACACAGTATTTTGGGTTTTAATTGATCCTGATCATGTATAATATATGTCTGTGTTCAGGGAGAAGGCCCATCTGTAGATTGCACCGCATATATGTGTCCTGATAATGTATATATGTCTGTGTTCAGGGAGAAGGCCCATCTGTAGGTTGCACAACATGTATGTGTCCTGATCATGTATATATGTCTGTGTTCAGGGAGAAGGCCCATCTGTAGGTTGCACAACATGTATGTGTCCTGATCATGTATATGTGTGTCTGTGTTCAGGGAGAAGGCCCATCTGTAGATTGCACAGCATATATTTGTCCTGATCATGTATATATGTCTGTGTTCAGGGAGAAGGCCCATCTGTAGATTGCACAGCATATATTTGTCCTGATCATGTATATATGTGTCTGTGTTCAGGGAGAAGGCCCATCTGTAGGTTGCACAACATGTATGTGTCCTGATAATGTATATATGTCTGTGTTCAGGGAGAAGGCCCATCTGTAGGTTTCACAACATGTATGTGTCCTGATAATGTATATATGTCTGTGTTCAGGGAGAAGGCCCATCTGTAGGTTGCACAACATGTATGTGTCCTGATAATGTATATATGTCTGTGTTCAGGGAGAAGGCCCATCTGTAGGTTGCACAACATGTATGTGTCCTGATCATGTATATGTGTGTCTGTGTTCAGGGAGAAGGCCCATCTGTAGATTGCACAGCATATATTTGTCCTGATCATGTATATATGTCTGTGTTCAGGGAGAAGGCCCATCTGTAGATTGCACAGCATATATTTGTCCTGATCATGTATATATATGTCTGTGTTCAGGGAGAAGCCACTTGTGTATGTTGTACAGCATATATACTAGGCACATAAAGAAACTGTGCATACAAAAATTTAAAATCTAAATTTATCAAACCTGTGTAGACACATAAGGATTCAAACTCAGAGATTAGTGACATGTATCCAACATGCATGCACGTGCCACGTTCCGTGACATCAGTGGATACGTCCTTGAGCGTGCAATACGTTGTTGCACGTGCATTCCGGGAAAGAGAAACATAGCAAATAAATGCCACACAATACTGTCACTTTGGAAAGCTCAACCCCTGCCTTGCGATCATTCAAGAAATTAAACGGCTATTGAAACACATAGCATGCCAAGGCACACGTCTGCACAATGTCATGAGGCCATTGGGATGGTCTGTGGGGGAATGTCTCAACGACAAGTGGCTGCACATTTCCACTGCCACCGGAACACCATTTCTGCACTGGTGAGACGCTACCAGAACACAAATGACGCCATCAATTGGCCACATTCTGGACGTCCACGTGTAACAACGCCAAGACAGGACATATGGATAAGGGTGACCCATCTTCGCCACAGGTTTCAGACTGCAGTTTACGTCATCACGGGATCAGACCACGACGTCCCGCCATGCGGCCTATCCTGACACAACGTCATCGACAAGCTTGCCGAATGTGGTGCCGAAATCATGTCCGCAGACCCTTGTTTTGGTGGAGAATGTTGTTTTTACAGATAAGTCCAGGTTTAACATTTCCCATAGTGATGGACGTCAACATGCCTATAGACGCGTGGGAGAACATTATGCACAGGCCTGTGTCTTTGAGAGGAATCTCTTTGGTGGTGGTTCCGTGATGATTTGGGGTGGAATAACAGCACACCAAAGAACTCCTTTGGTGATTGTTCAGGGCAACTTAATTGGTGTGGGCTACAGGGATCAGATTCTTCGACCTGTGGCAATTCCTTTTCTGCAACGTCATGACCCTGGGTTAACATTCCAACAGGACAATGCCTGCCCTCATACGGCAAGGGTTGCTATGGATTTCTTGCAACACCACAACGTTGACTTACTGCCTTGGCCTGCAAATTCACGGATCTCTCCCGATAGAGCATGTTTGGGACGAGATGGATCGACGTCTACGCCGTCTTCCTCATCCGCCAGATAACGTCCTTGACCTTGCAGCAGAACTTGAGAGAATCTGGCTTGACATCCCACAAGCCTTCCTTGCACGTTTGATAGGCTCTATCGTCGTCGATGCACTACTGTTCTCAATGCCCATGGTGGACATACCCGTTATTGAGCTTGTGACATGGTCGTTTGACCCCTGTCCCGCTTGTGGACTCGTGACGTCATTGTGATTGACTTTTCAATTGAAATTCTCCCCACTTGTTATGGTCTCATGATCCCTCCATTAAAGTTTATATGTACCTTTGACATTGTTATCGTACTTATCAACTGGGATAATATTTTGACAATGCACAGTTTCTTTATGTGGCTAGTATATTTGTCCTGATCATGTATATATGTCTGTGTTCAGGGAGAAGCCCCTTGTGTATGTTATACAGCATATATGTGTCCTGATCATGTATATATGTCTGTGTTCAGGGAGAGCCCCTTGTGTATGTTATACAGCACATATGTGTCCTGATCATGTATATATGTCTGTGTTCAGGGAGAAGCCCCTTGTGTATGTTGTACAGCATGTATGTGTCCTGATCATGTATATGTGTTTGTGTTCAGGGAGAAGCCCCTTGTGTATGTTGTATAGCATGTATGTGTCCTGATCATGTATATATGTCTATGTTCAGGGAGAAGCCCCTTGTGTATGTTGTACAGCATGTATGTGTCCTGATCATGTATATATGTCTGTGTTCAGGGAGAAGCCCTTTGTGTATGTTGTACAGCATGTATGTGTCCTGATCCTGTATATATGTCTGTGTTCAGGGAGAAGCCCCTTGTGTATGTTATACAGCATATATTTGTCCTGATCATGTATATATGTGTCTATGTTCAGGGAGAAGCCTTTGTGTATGTTGTACAGCATGTATGTGTCCTGATCATGTATATGTGTTTGTGTTCAGGGAGAAGCCCCTTGTGTATGTTGTACAGCATGTATGTGTCCTGATCATGTATATGTGTTTGTGTTCAGGGAGAAGCCCCTTGTGTATGTTGTACAGCATGTATGTGTCCTGATCATGTATATATGTCTATGTTCAGGGAGAAGCCCTTTGTGTATGTTGTAGTAGTACAGCATGTATGTGTCCTGATCCTGTATATATGTCTGTGTTCAGGGAGAAGCCCCTTGTGTATGTTGTACAGCATGTATGTGTCCTGATCATGTATATATGTGTCTGTGTTCAGGGAGAAGGCCCTTGTGTATGTTATACAGCATATATTTGTCCTGATCATGTATATATGTGTCTATGTTCAGGGAGAAGGCCCTTGCAGCAACAGGTGACCGAGGAGTGCAGTTGGCGTCAGACTGGTGAGTTCATTGCAAGGAAGTTGTAACAGGAGTTTCCTGGCTGGTATCTGAAGGTTACTGAAATAGATGTGTGTTATCCTTTGCATGTTTTTCCTGTAATCATGGTAATACAGGACTCACACATAACATGCACCGGTACAAGGTCCCGAGTTTCTGAACTGAATCCTGTAGCTACTGCAATCACATGATAAAGGCTAAACCAGTTCTGACAGGTTTAACAAGTTTCTGAACATTAATTAAACTATGTCACTGGGAAAGAAAGAAAAAGGTTGTGTGAGTTAGCTGCTTGAAAACAACTACAAACAGTACAGTGAGACATGGTAATGGCAAACTCCAAGAGACTTTGACAGTTCAGAAATACTTTTAGTGATCAGAATTGACCTAGTGATAGTTAGAGTTTTGATAGTTGGTATGTTATAGTTTTATCCATGTTCTTTTTAAGTGTATTTGACTGGTGTAAACTGTTTCCCACATAGTTTTTACACTTTATCAAGAAGACATTGGGATTCTGGGCAAGACTGTAGATCTCAGGCAACTCAAGTTTTTGTTAGAGTGAGTTAATAGACTGAGTGGTCAGGCTGGGGACTTGGCTGATGACATGTCATGGTGGCACAATGACACGCATTGACCTTTCAGATATTCATCACTGGCATGTTGGGTTCAAATTTGATTATTTATTGGTTGGTGTCTTATATTTTGGATCTTGTGTGGCATTTAAGCAAACAAATAAACAAACAAACAAACAAGCTCGTTATCAACATGGCCATCATGCTCACTGAGTCAGTGCATACTGTGTAATATTTTATCCACATTCTCTCAGTCAGTAACCTGACTTATGTGTTGTTTAATGCATCAGGGCTAACTTCCGTGACAAGAGTTTCATGTCAGTGTTAGTGATGTTCCGATAAATTGAAATATCGAAGATTGGTCGAAGTGACCAAACGACCAAGCAATCGATCACATTTTCTCATAATCGATTTTGGGACTACTGTTTTAGTGTTTGAAAAACTTAATGATGGAACATATCTTAGAAGTTGTCAGGATCTGAAAACGTGTATAATTCTTAGAAAACTGACTTCACTTACTGAAAAGTCATGACTGAATATTTCTTGAAGACTACAGGAAGTTTATGTTCATGATATATTAGTCATCACTATAAAGTAGCAAGTTGCATCAAGTTACATTGGATGTGGAATTTGCAAATGCAGTCCGCACAGTTTCTAAATAAAACAACAAAACAACAGAGAACCACAGGTTTTCACTTTATACTTATCTGCAATTAACAACCTAAACAAGAAAATCTGAAAAATGACGCTAACGGTAACCAATTGTTTTCAATGATTGCTCATTGGTAATGAAGCAATCATCCATTGTGAGATTTCCACTAATTCCCAGCACTAGTTAGTGTGGTGCGTGAAGGAGGGTTAGCAGGTCTGTGTTCGGTTTGTCACACCAATGGTCAGAGTGGATCCCTCTTAGTATGCAAAGCCAAAAGAGTTTTCCCATAGAGATATTACTTTACATGCTCAATGTTGGCAAACTTTGTAGAAATTTCCTTCAAGAACTTGTACTAATACATTACTATGATTGTTATGTGAAGTAGGGGGTTATACAAGCTTTCAAAAGGAGTGAGTGAGTAAATATGGTTGTATCCGGCTTTTAGCAATATTCCAGCAATATCACGACGGGGACACCAGAAATGGGCTTCACACATTGTACCCATGTGGGGAACTGAACCCGGGTCTTCAGCGTGACGAGCAAACGTTTTGACCCCTAGGCTACCCCACCGCCCATGTTCGAAAGGAACTGTTAACCCCCTGAATGCCAGCGGGATATACATGTCCTACCCCTTCAACCCTTACTTTGGAGTCGAATAAAATTCAAAATATATCAAGCGCACAAATACACATCACAGTTTTGCATTCTGGGTGAAATTTCCTGTTTCTTGATACCAACCACAATAATCTTAGAGTTAGACAAAGTAAAGTGCTGAAAGTGACCTCTGAAAATTAGGTTCACTGTAAACGTCACCATTTATGACACACTACGAAATCACCATGCACAGCGTTTTCTGGTGTATGTTTTGAAATGTAAAAATCAGATGATTAATAGAAGGATTTTAAGTTCAAATATAGCATATTCATGATCACTGATATCTGTTTTTCATCAAATCACCAATGGTAATTCTGAAACAACGCTGATGAACCTAGAATCAGTTTTAATGTTTTGGAAAATACACTAACACGAACGCAAAGTGAACTTTCCGCCATATTGGATAGTGTTTACAAAATCCCGTTTCACGAAGGCCCGGTATTGAGACGCCTATTACATCACATATATTTCACATTCAGCTGCGACACATACATTACTGAATTCCACATGCATTTTAGAATCAAATAACAAATGGTCTCGGTCACCAACATCAAGTGTCTGGATGAAATCAAACAAAACATATTGGGTTTGAAAACGAACACTGTGCTCGCAAGACAGAGCTTGTTTGAAACGTAAACATGGAACAATTCAGTTTTACATTGCATAGCAATTTTTCAAAATTTCAGACATTCATCCGTCTATTTGTTGCATGCATTTGCGCAATACTTTTAGAATATGAATAGAAAGAGTATCATTGTAAAAAATAGGAAATTAAACATAGATACAATACAGTAAATTGAGATATTCATATGATATTGTCAAAGTTTCTGTGCAGCATGACTTACGGAATATCATGCAGAACGATGGTAATTATGAACAATTCTGGCTTCTTCTCTTACCTACAATGAAAACAATAGAAACAGATGGCAATAAGACTAAACAGTCACCATATCCCTCCGATTACACTGTCAGTGTTATAATGTATATTTTGTGTATCGTTCAGATATTTTTTCTTGAAACTAAGTTCATGATGTGCATTTAGCTGTGTTCAGTATCATCAGTGTATGAAATAAATGTCCGAGAGCCCATAACCTGGCAGGGCGGTGGGGTAGCCTAGTGGTTAAAGCGTTCGCTCGTCACGCCGAAGACCCGGGTTCGAATCCCCACTTGGGCACAATGTGTGAAGCCCATTTCTGGTGTCCCCCGCTGTGATATTGCTGGAATATTACTAAAAGCGGCGTAAAACCATACTCACTCACTCACTCATAACCTGGCAACTTTTGGAAGTTTGTGTATAAATAGACAAATTATTACATTCAGGCTGGCTATTTTTCAAACTTATTTCATACACTGGTATCATAGACTAATGCTTAGTCTCTGAATATATATAATTTTGATGGTAACAAACAAGCCCATTTAAAGGAGCCCTAGGGAGACCAGAGATCCTGAACCTGAGGAAATCTAGACTTGCTTTATTTAGGGCTTTAGCACTGCAGAGAGGGATTGGCAGTAGGGAAAATAATGTGGTTCAGGGACTGTGAGACAGACTAACTGGTATGATATCATACGTGGAGTTAGGCCATAGGTTTGAAAGTTTTTGTTTGTTTGAATAATATTTACATAAGAAATTGACAAGTTTTGTGTAGTACACCATATTTTATACCTTTACTCAGGTGAGAAGATGAAACATTGGCATTACTGTAACATGTACTTTAGTTCCTGTGCTGTGCAGCAGTATTCAGTATCGGGATCAATATCGGGATCAATATCGGGATCAATATTGCAGTTTTATGTGAACAGGTTAATGAACAGGGACTTTATCTAACCTTGACAATATTAATGAAAATGACATATATTTTTTATGAAATGTTATATGCACACATTTCTAAAGCAATTATCTTGTTCATTGAATTTGTTTGTGTCGTTTTATAGACAAAACAATGATGTATATTGATTGGCCAGGTGCGAGTTTGTTAGAAACGTTGTATGATTCACTATTATTCTTTTCGATAATATAATCAATTAAAAAACACTGTGATGACAGGATATCATAATGTTACTATATTTCTACAAAAATTGTTTAAAAATGTATAAACTATGTCATGTCTTAATTGAGACCAATCTACATCCATATTCTAATAGTTCCATACAAAAAGGGCTATCTTTTTGCATCTTTCATTGAGTTTTTTTTTTTTTCTTGCTTTTTTGACAAAACAGTGATGTATGATGATTGGTCAGGTGTGAGTTTGTTCATTTTACGATTCTCTGTCATAGTTTTTGATAGACCACCTCCGTAGTGAAGTGGTTACTGGTAAGAGCATCCGCCCGGAAAGCGGAAGGTCGCAGGTTCGGTCCCAGGCCGCGTCATACCAAAAGACATTAAAATATGGTACTTGTTGGTCCCTGTCTGGCGCTAAGCATTAATGGGTACAACAAGGACTGGTCGGCTCTGAGTCAGTATAATATGTCTGAGTGGGGTATTCATGCTTCACTGCGGCATGGTATCTCAGTGGGCTAGCACTATAAGACCAGCTGAAGTTTGGGCTAGTACAAGCAGCAACACATACACATGCATGCACATCGTCATATGAGCAAAATAATCTTAAGTACGACGTTAAACCTCAATTCACCTCACCCCACCTCGTTTTTGAAAGTACAATCAATTCATTCTCGAAAAAATATATTGTGATGGCAGGATATCACACTGTAACTATAGTTCCAAGAAATTTGTAAAACAAATATAAATCAAATATAAATGTCATGTCTTACTTTGGACAAGCCTTACATCATTATTCTGATAGTTCCATACAAAAAGTGCTATCTTTTTGCATCTTTCATTGTATACTTATAAAGACAAATCATTAACAAAGAAAAGCCTGTGTGTGATTTGAAGTATTCTTTTGTATTTGCGGAAACTGATGTCAAACAGGTGTGAGTATTGTTCACATTAGGATACACAGTCAAACCATCTAATTGTTTGTCTACTTAGGACATTATTCAATTTTTTATTTAATAGCTTTAAACTCTGACAGAGAAACTGAGACCTTTTATACAATTAATGGAAATAAGGTGAGATATATACTAATCAACATACCAGTGTCGTCTTTCGCCACATGAACATGAACATA